TGTTGATGGCCATCTAGGTTCTTTCCATTTCCTACCTATTGTAAATACAGCAGCAGTGAACATAAATGTACAGGTGTCTCTGTAGTGAGATAAAAAGTCCTTTGGGTATATTTCTGGGAGTGGTGTAGTTGAGTCCTAACGTCAAGTCTATTTCTAGTTTTTTCAGACGTCGCCAGGCTGCTTTCCAAAGTGGCCGCACTAGGTGACCCTCCCACCAACAGCAGTCAGAGTGCCCCTTTTGCCACATCCACATCAGCATTGGTTGTCACTCATATTCCTGATGATGTCCATTCTGATGAGGGGGGTGTAAAGTAGAATCTTAAAGTCGTCGTACTTTGCATTTCCCTGCTGTCTACAGATGTTGAGAACTTCAGTTTCCTAGCCATTTGTTTCTTTTGGGTTCTTTGTAGACATTAATAATCTTCAGTTGTGTGACTATCTGGCAAAGATTTTCTCTATCTGTTCACTCATTTCAGTTTCCTTTGCTACAGAGAAGGTTTTTAATTTCATGAGTTTCTGTCTGTTGATTGACTTCCTGTGCTACTATAGTCTTATTCCGAAGTACCTGTGCTTTTTCCTCTAGTAGTTTCAGGTACCAAGTCTTATGTTGAAGATCTTGATCCATTTATAGTTGCTTTGTGTAGGGCAAGAGATCAGCTTCTAGTTTTTTGTTTTTTGTTTTGTTTTGTTTTTCCGGCATGTTAAAATCCAGTTTTCCCAGCACCATTTGTTGAAGATGCTATCCTTTTATCAATGTATATTTTTGGCATCTGTCAAAAATTAGGTAACTAATTGCATGGAGTTATATCTAGGTCCTGAAATATATTGCATTGAGCTATGTGTCTGTTTTTGTTCCAGTACATGCTGTTTTTATTAAGATTCTGTTTTAGTGTGGAATGAGAAATGAGGATACTGCCCACTGTGTTTTTGTTGTTATTGTTTGCTTTTTTTGTTCTCTATCTTTTGTGGCTCCATATAATTAAAAATTTTTTTTTCTATGTCTGTGAAGAATGGCCTTGGAATTTTGCTTGCTAGTGCATTGAATCTGTAGATTGCATTGGTGGGGTAGCCATTTTACAAGATTCTTCTGATCTATAACCATGGAATGTCTTTCAGGTGTCGCCCTCAATTTCTTTCTTCAGTGTAATTAAAATGTTATTGTAGAAGTTCTGGTTCCTTGGTTAGGCATATTCCCAGGTATTTTATGTTGTTGTTTGTCTGTTGTGAATGGAGTTTTTTGCCTTGTTCCTTTTTCAGTATGTCTGTCATTGGTGTATAGGATCACTACTGACCTTGTGTTAATTTTTCTGTCTGCTACTTTGCCTAATTTGTTTTGGTAAAATCTTCAGGGTCTCATATATAGAATCATATCATCTGCAAGAAGAGACACTTTTACTTTTTTTATTTGTATCCCTTTTATTTTGTATTGCTCTAGGTAAGACTTCAAGCACTATATTGAATGCAAATGGAGAGAGTACATAGTCTTGTCTTGTTAATGATCTTGAAATACTTTGAGTTTTTCTCCATTTAGTATGATTTTGAGTGGAGGTTAGTTGGATATGGCCTTTATTATATTGAGGTAAGCTCTCACTATCCCTCCTAGCTCTCCATGCCTTTTATCATGAAGGAACTTAGGTTGTGTTAAAGGCTTTTTATGCTATTGAGATGATCATGTGATTTCTGTCTTTAGTTCATTTATGTTATGAATGACATTTATTGATTTATACATGTTGAATCATCTTTGCATCACTAGAATAAAGCCTATGTCACGATGAATGATCTTTTATGGTGTAATGTTTAATAAAGTTTGCAAGTGTTTTTTTTTCTTTATTTATTTAATAACCACATAATTAGAAACATTTCATGACAAGAGCATTGACATATTCAGTAACAATTTCCAGAGCTATGATGCATCTGTTTAAATATTGGCTGTAAATTTTTAGGTTTATAGTTGAATTAATACAGTTATACAATATTGTACTCATTATAAACCCTTTAAGGCATAAAATTAAATGAGGTTTTAACCTTTAAAAAAGATCTCCATTTCATTATTAAAATACATAGTTTCATACAGAAAAATTCATTTTTAATGCAATTGACACTAAGATGTTTGCACATGCGTTTCTAATCTCTATATATCTGATTATTACTAGTCATAGTTGGTTACTTTCTGAGCTCCTTGGCATCTGAACATGGATATAAAGTCATCAGGTAGATTTCAGTGGTAATGGTTTTCACATAGACTAATTATTAGGGAGCAAATTTTTATGCTTTGAAGAATTTTTTTTTTAATTTTTAAAAAATTTTAATAACCACATGAGATTAGAAGCAGCATATCATTACAGCTTAACATATTCAGTAACACACTGCAGAGCAAGGATGCATCTCTTTCAAAAATGGCTGTAAATTTTTAGGTTCAATGTGAATTAATACAGTTATACAATATTGAACTCAGTATAAACCCTGTAAGATATAAAATTGAATGAGTTTTTACCCTTTAAAGAAGATCTCCCATTTCAAGATATGCTGTTTCCTACATTTTTTAAATACTATTTTAAATTTTTTTTAGAAGAAGCATATCATTACAGCTTTAACATGCCCGATAACACTTTCCAGAGCAAAGACATAGCTCCTTCAAAAGTGGCTATAAAATTTCTAGTTCGCTGTTGAATCAATACAGTTGTACAATATTGAACTCAGTATAAGCCCTGTAAGTCGTAAAATTGAATGAGTTTTTAACTCTCAAAAAAGGTCTCCGTTTCATTCTCAAATACACTGTTTCTTACAGCAGACTCATTGTTTTTGCTACTAATGCTGAGATGTTGGCGCATGCATCTCTAATCTGTATATATCTGATTATTACTAGTCATAATCGTTGCACTCAGATCCTTGACGCCTGCGTATGTCTATAAAGTCATCAGGTAGATTTCAATGGTTATCGTTCATCACCTCTACTGATTAACATGATGTAAACTTTTATGCTTCCTCCTCAAATATAATACTTTTTTTTTAATTTGTTGATTTTTTTTTTGTGTGTTCTGTGTGTGTACATCCCAAATCATCTTACTCAACTGTACACCCACTTCCCACATGGCACCCTCCCATAGCCTTGCTCCCTCCACTAAAGCCCTTGATACTGTTATCCCTGCTACTGTTCAGTGTATGGTTGGCCCCCCACCTGTTCCCCACTACTTGTCCATCTGGTGAATCTAGTCAGCCTACCTAGAGGTCTTTGTTTTAGGAAGGTCAGCTGTTCCTCATCTAGCAGCAATCAGTTGTCAATATTCCTTTAGATAAGATTGGGGTCTGCTGTTCATTTTCCCAGTTCTACGCTGGGTTAATATCTGGGAGTCCCTTGGGCCACCCTGGCCAACAACGCAAAAGAAGGTATCCCATCTGGCATTGTTGCTTGTTCTGTA